TGAGATAAAAGTACAAAGACATCATGTTTCTTTACCATCTTTGTATCCCTGTGCTCTGTCCTCATGTGCGTCTGTCACAGTGACACCTGTCTCTTGCATTTGCATCAAAGACTTTACAAAATCAAATCCAATACAATTGTAGATTGTCTTGAGTGTTAGCAGACTAGGAAGATTTCTCACTATATGTGCACATACTTGTACTGATGATTGGAGTAAACACAATACTTACAAATGGCTAGAAAACAGTGATGACTTAAAATAAGGTAACTAAAGCTATACATGCTCTGATACTGATGTTTCTGCAGGTCTCCCTTGAAAAAGAGATCATTGATCTCAATGGGATTTTACCTGGATAAATACAGGTTTTGAATTGAATACAAGCATTTTTTTCACATTTCAGCTTAAATTGGTTTAAACGTTGTCACTTCTCTGACTAATTTGTATACATAATGTCTTTCAATTCATATTGGTGCCACTGAAAAAGGCACTAGTATAACCATTACATATTTTCAATGTAACAATGTACTTCTTACGACCTACGATACCCCTCTGGATAAGACTAGCTGCACAAAGCAAATAGTACATCTGGATGGTGAGTGTCTGCTGCACCTGCTCCTACATGAGTAGAACTCTTAGAGCAGCAGCTTTTCCTTTTCAGCTTCGGTATCTACATTCAGCTAATCATTTCGCATAAGAGGTGATCAATTCAAGTTATTGTTCTCCGTGGTGTGCCTTTTGCACCTGCCTCTTCTTTCTCTGTACAGGTGCCTCAAAGGTGCTGAACAGGCCTGTAGCGGAGTATTCTGCCTTAGCAGCTGAACTCAAATTATGTGTATGTATGTATACATATATACATACAGCTCTGGGAAAAAATAAGGGACCACTGCAGCATTATCAGTTTCTCTGGTTTTACTATTTATAGGTATGTGTTTAAGTAAAATGTTGTAATTGTATTTTTTTAAACTACTGACAACATTTCTCTGTGTTGGATTTCAACAGACACTCGAATGGGATGGCTGCCATACATGTAGAGATTGAGATTTAAGAAGAAATTGGAGTGGTCTCTTAATTTTTTTATGAGCTGTATATATAATATTTAAGTGTTCATCTGCAGGAACAGATGGATAGCCATACGCATACATACATTTGCCAAGACATATATGCAAAGAATTTCAGACATCAGAGATGGGAGAAAGTTGTCTTTGATACTAGTGGAGGTTTCCAAAGGTTGAGCGCAAGGTCTCAGCACGACACTTGGTTGGTTTATTCTTTTTTTTCCAGCCGTGTGCTTTCCTGTGTACCAGCAGCACCATAGTGACGTGCTGTGGTCCAGCCAGTCCTTTCTCAGCCCACATACAGCAGAGAGCCACTTCACTTGCTCTGATGACGGAAATGTAATAAGCCTGGATCGTTTCATCCAGCAAAAGAGCGAGAAAAGACAGCACTGGGATGTCACTCGTGTGCATGCAGCTGCCCTCTTAAAACTCTCTTCTGCAATTTTATCGCATTTCAGTGCACTGCCCAGACAGCTGTCAAACGAATGACATGTTTTACATCCACCACAATTTGTACATTTTCATCAGCCTAAAATAGCTCATAAAGCCTTTATTTTTTTACTGGCCATTTCATTTCTGGCGTCTTCATTTCTTAGGGTTGATCCGATGTTGCATCAGAATGATTGCCATGGGATTCCTTATATGAGGAGGAAGAGAGTAACAAAAAAAGGGAGACATTGATGATACAGAGCAGGAATGGAAAGGTTGGTAAAGAGACATCTAGAGAGGCAGAGAGGAGGCAAGAGAGAGGAGAAGATTTGTGAGGAGGAGGCGGGGGGGCTGAGGGCCAGCAGAGTCAGAGATAAGAGGCTGCGAGAGTGATTGAAATAGGATTAGTGGAGACAGGCTCTGCATCCCCCGGCCACAGCATCACAGTGTTAAACCTGTGCTTCACAGGCACTGCCTCTGTCACATCAAAGCCTGCCTGGCAGAGAGGCGAAGGAGTCACCAGCAGGGTCGTTGTTCACACACACACACACACACACACACACACACACACACACACACACACACACACACACACACACACACACACACACACACACACACACACCACATACATGATGGGCTGATCACATTCACCATCCGTCTCCAATATGCCTCCATTACGGGCAGGAAGCCGGCTCCTTCACCCTTGCATCCACCTTTTGATTTGGCTGCAGTGTCTTTGTGGTGTCTGTGCATTTGGAGCACGGATCGGATGCATTGATGAGCCATCTTTAACATTTAATGAGGCAAGCAGTGATGAGTTGGCATTGGAAAGCTACTGTCTCCTGCTTCCCCAGAGTCCAAACTAAGTTTTAATGAGAACTTTCCCCCAATTTGTGCCAACATCACTGAGCTTTTTCACTGCTTCCCAGACTGAAAGTATATCACATTTTTCTGAAGCGGGGGACACACCTGTGTGCAAATAAACTAATATGCATACAGGGACAAAAAGAGTAGTTTGCTCAGTGGCTCGCATGTAGAGCTGGGCAATAAATGAATATGATATATATATATATCGTTATCTATGTGATCTGCTTTTCATATTATTGACATAAACCCATGGCTTTTCCAGTCGTTAACCACAGATTTTCTTTTACACTACCATTTGAGTGTTCTGGCTCATGTAAAATATTTAAAGGAGTTTCCTGATAGTTTAAATATTTTTTTTAAATATCCCCATTTATGCCATTGTTAATTCCCTTATGGTTACTGTATCCATAAATCATTTCTACAGCTTAACTAAATCTCTTTATTCATCTTTCTTGTGCTATAAAGGGTGCTATTTTGTTTCTCAAGTACAATCAAATACTGCAGATGCTCACCAGCTCTGCATGCGCTTCATCAAATGAGCGCTCACTGTTCCATATTCATCTCGTATACTTATTCTTGAGTATCTCAATATGATCAGATGTTGCACGTAAGTCCTGTTCTGCTGCACTCGATTATGATCCCTATAGCTGAAATGGCCTGTTTATCTGCTGAAAATAGACAATCCACTGATTGGTGAGTGCTGTCTCTCTCTCTGTGTGTGTGTGTGTGTGTGTGTGTGTGTGTGTGTGTGTGTGTGTGTGTGTGTGTGTGTGTGTGTGTGTGTGTGTGTGTGTGTGTGTGTGTGTGTGTGTGTGTGTGTGTGTGTGTGTGTGTGTGTGTGTGTGTGTGTGTGTGTGTGTGTGTGTGTGTGTGTGTGTTGCGCTGGTAGTTTTCCTCTCGGAGCTCATCAGTTCATATCCACCACCCACCCCACCGCAGCATGCAGTAAATAGAGTCTCCGCCACTCGTTGAGAAATGGCACAATTATCCCCTGCTGGTGAAATATGGGCCTGGATGCACCGCTGCTTCTTTGTGTGTGTGTGTGTGTGTGTGTGTGTGTGTGTGTGTGTGTGTGTGTGTGTGTGTGTGTGTGTGTTGTGTGTGTGTGTGTGTGTGTGTGTGTGTGTGTGTGTGTGTGTGTGTGTGTGTGTGTGTGTGTGTGTGTGTGTGTGTGTGTGTGTGTGTGTGTGTGTGTGTGTGTGTGTGTGTGTGTGTGTGTGTGTGTGTGTCATATTTTTGCAGCTTACTCATTGTGAGTGGTGTGTTCAACACACAGAGAACAGTTCTCACTTATGGATCTATACACATGTCATGCATGCATCGCATACACAAGTGTAAATGCACATGCAGGGTTGCAGCTGCTCACACAGATGCATGCAGTATATGCACACATGCAGATTGGCACTTACAGCGCTCCTCAGTGTGCACACAATGCAGAATGTTGCAGTTTTAGCTGAGACAAGCAGATAGAATAACTCACTGTCAGTCAGACTGTAAGGTCAATCTTTCAATTCAAAAAATGCATAGCAACCCACTGTGCATGAAGACATGGCAAAAAGGAAATATAATGCCTTTCAGTTCTCAGGAACTATACAGCACTGACATTAGCACATTAGGCTTTTGTGAACAATGTTCCCTTTGTGTTAGGTTCCACGTAGAAAATTGTTGTACTAACTTTATGTCATTTTGGTCATCAGACCTCCATCAGGCAAAACATATCAACTGTAAGCAAACAGCACATGAAATACCAAGCACCAATTATTACGCTGTTATTGACTGACCTACAGCTGTGATATGATTCCAAATGTTTTAATGTAAATATTCTTATTTTCATTATACATATTAGCCATGTTGTGTATTTTTGAGCAGATCTTTATTTGAATATTGCACCAATCCATATTGTTTAACGTATCAAATTCAAAATGTATTGTACAGACCAACCCAGCATTCATACAAAATAAGCTCAATAAGATCTATTAATTGTAAACAAACCCTTGTACTGAGCTACTCCAGCTATAAACAAGAATAATATGTATACAAATATCAAAAGACAATATTCTTACATTCAAAGGAATTCCTCCATATAAATCAAACGGATGTAAATACTATAGAAAATACAGTATTCAAGGAGTAAACAAATACGATATTGACTTAATTGTAAATTCCATACTTGCTGTCGGTTTTATTCATAATAAAATGAATGTAAACATGAATCTGTTCACTCTATGGGAGCTGATTAATAGTCGCTTCACTAGAAGAGACTGGTTTTCTCTATTTTACAGAAGGGAAATAAATTACTCAGACATTGATAGTTTGTACTGCATACTATTAAAACAGCTTTACTTTTTAAATTGTTCACTGTGCCTGTATGCTTTTAGACCTTTTCCAAATGTTCGGTGAGTCGCTCAAATGTCAGAAGGCTGCACATTCCTCTGAAGTCAGCCGTAGACATAATGTTATTAACCTCAAGTGATTGCTTGTTCCAATAACTTTTGACATTTGTGTGACTTTGCAAATTGCTAGTTGCAACTACATGGCAGAAATGACAATAATGGGACATCTACTTTTACCATGGGATGACAATTTTAGTGAACTGTGTCAAAACTGTATATCAAAAACACTCAATTTAATTTCTCTGTCTTACAGGTATGGAAAAATAGTGTCAACCAAGGCCATTCTGGACAAGAACACCAACCAGTGCAAAGGTAAGTCATTACTTGAGTGTCTTGTACACCCACCTTGTTTAAGTGCAGCAGCTATCACTCTTTAGTCTATGTCTTGTCACGGTTAACAGCACTACAAGCCGTAAATGTAGACATCAGCCGAGGAAGCCTTGTTCCGTAAATCAGTGATTTAGCGAGTAGCTGGCTTAACACTGCAGGAAGGCTCGGGGTAAACAACCTGCTCTGTGATGTCGCTGCCCTGCTTCAGAGGAGGATAAGCAGCCCCTCCCTGTCTCCTCTTCCATTTCCTGTTTTGTAATACAGTATGGAAGACAATCTTTTGCTGTGTTTCTGTACAAGGTCCATTAGTGTCTGCACAGTAAATGCAGCGATGACATTAGTGGCTCATTTTGAAGTTGTTTCTTGACTACACACATTTACATGCTTGAACATACGCACACACTCGAGAGCTAACAAGGTTGTCGGGATTTGATTAACTATTTGCTATCATTGTCACGCTCATTTTCGTGGCGTCTTGGCGTCTATCTTTACTTCAGCCAGCTGCCTCACACGGCTGTGAATACATCTCAAACATTTATTTTTCATACAATCAGTCGGTAATGATCAAAAAGAGCTTAGTCTATAGTAAAGAAAGAGAGAGAGATGGAGTGAATGGAGCGACGAGAGAAAAAAAGACTTGCCCCGAGGTGTCTGGCAGCACTGTTTAAGAGGTATTGAAGTTCCATCAATACTTTTAATTGCTTTTTGTGGTTTCCCGGGCTCTGAAGTGTGGCCTTCCAAGGTGAAGCTGCCTTCTTAACCCCGCTCCAATCCTGCAAGGCATGCTCAGGGTCAACATGTTGAGGGAAATAACCTCTGCCTGTTAGATGGGAGGGGGAAAACACGGCTTGATTATCTCGACAGGTCCTTTTTCTAAGTCCTACAGGCCATTAAAGACAAGACTGGATGCATGTTGGCTGGAAGGAGGCATCTACAGGTCCAGGACAAAGCACAGGGTGGATTAAAGAGGTGTTGGGGGGGAGAGGCTGTTTAAAAGAGAGAGAGAAAAGGTGAAACTCTTTCAATTTCTGAAAGAAATACTCTGGCAATGATCAAAGGTGTTTTACTCACTGTGAGTTATGCACAGCACACACACACAATCAGCTCAGCTTAGCACTATGTTGTGTGGGAGACAATGTTTCCCATAAGTCATCCTCCTGGAATGCAGCGCTGCAGAGATGCCAAAAGGCAAATATAAGCAGACGTATTTTATGAGTGGAAAGGCTGGTCCCACTGAGAGAGAGAAAGAGAGAGAGGGAGATGGACAGAGGGGAAGTGAGAGTGTGAGGAGAAGGACTTAGTAACCTTGAAGAGAACATTACATGTATTTTATGTTTGAAAGACAAGTTAAGGAGAAGAGAAGCAGCACAATAACATCATTTCTGCTGCTACCACTCGGCATCCGTATCCAACTATCTCTCGAGAGGTGAGCCGTTATCAAAGCATAAATGAGCCAAGCAGGTGTATGGAAGCCTGATGGGCTGGCGTGCGTCTGCACCCCCCGTGATCGCCCTGATCTAGTCACGCATTGTTTCCTGTCATCTGACCCCCCGACCCTGACACTTGTTTAAATGTCAAAGCAGCAGCTTATCACTGCTTTGCCGCCATCACACGGCGAGCATCGCTCTATTCTCCAGCTCCACCTCCTCTCCCCCCCCTCCTGTTATTTGTGTTTAGTTCAGCTCAGTGAGCGCACGGCAAAAAACAACGTGAGAAAAATGACAGAGTAGAGGTCAGGACCGGTCATTTCTGCCAGGGAGAAAGATTGACAATCAGACTGGGGAAATCCATCAGAGGGGAACAGAGATTAAACCTGCTGACTAATTTATTTACCCTGATGTCCCCTCGGTTTCATTTTAATGATACAACACTTTATATAAAGTAAAGACTCTTCTCATGGTGGAAATATGATGTGTTGGTAAAATACATCCTTGAATTAGATTACCGGTAGGATTTATTCTGCCGATAAGGTCATTTAAAATTCACGACAAATCTACCGGATGGTAAGCATTTTCATATAATATGGGCATAGATATGTCTCATAATTACTTGTGTGAACATAAAAATAATTTGTGTGTAAATATGTGATTTGTAAATGTAAAACAACATCCACAAATGCATTTAAAAGATTAGCAAACTCACAAATACATTTGCAAGTGTAAAACGGATCTGCAAATACGCTAAATATGTTCACAAATAAAAAAAGATCTGTGAATATCTCTTTAACATTTACACCTTTCGATCAGGCATTTGTGAATCCATTTTGTATTTGTGGACCAAAAATGCGCTTGCGGATCTCAAATCTCTGTTCACGGATCTCAAATCTCTGTTCGCGGATCGTCTTTTTACACACACGGAATTTTGAGACATATTTTCCGCCGGTCTCGGCTAAAATCTACTCGTGTCACTCGGTTATTTTCGGATACCACGTGATGGCCTGCTGATGACGACATTTCCGCATGATTTCAAAGTAAGAGCATGATGGTTTGTTTAATGCTCTCTTTTTGTATTATAATGAACAGCGGAACGTTAGATGCATTCTTCATCACCATCACCATCATCATCATGTTATAGTGATACAGTTCGTTTGTGTTATTGGTTCAATATAGCATATATCGAGCACTTTCGTTGATGTTGAAGTGCCGGCTATACGCCACTTTCGGGTCCCGGGGGAGCAGCTGGCAGCGAAGCAGCCCAGATAAAACTCTTTCTTCATTGTTTGTTGTGTATTCAGTCAAGCGGGTCGAAGTTACAAAGCACTTCACATCTTATTAATCGGCCTAATTGTACCTTACCAGTGCAGTAATAAAGTAATCTGTAGAAAAGCACCGTATTTAGGTCAGGGTTATGGTGATAAAGAATGCATCTAACGTTCCGCTGTTCATTATAATACAAAAACAGAGCATTAAACAAACCATCATGCTCTTACTTTGAAATCATGCTGAAATGTCGTCATCAGCAGGCCATCACGTGGTTTCCGAAAATAACCGAGTGACACGAGTAGATTTTAGCCGAGAGCGGCGGGAAATATGTCTCAAAATTCCGTGTGTGTAAAAAGACGATCCGCGAACAGAGATTTGAGATCCGTGAACAGAGATTTGAGATCCGCAAGCGCATTTTTGGTCCACAAATACAATATGGATTCACAAATGCCTGATCGAAAGGTGTAAATGTTAAAGAGATATTCACAGATCTTTTTTTTATTTGTGAACATATTTAGCGTATTTGCAGATCCGTTTTACACTTGCAAATGTATTTGTGAGTTTGCAAATCTTTTAAATGCATTTGTGGATGTTGTTTTACATTTACAAATCACATATTTACACACAAATTATTTTTATGTTCACACAAATAATTATGAGACATATCTATGCCCATAATATAATTACATAGAACAGAACAGCCCCCTTATTCATTTGAATATGTCCATTGTGGGGACACAGTGGGTTCACAAATACATGGCAAAACGATGCAAAGTTGTCCTGCAAAAAAAAATTCACTTGCAACATGATGTCAGCTGACCAGGTGCCTTATCAGCCAATCTGACATAGCTGGCAGATTTATTTGTAAATGGTGAACTACCTGGCAAGTGCCAGAATTGTCAAATTATTTCTTATAGTATTATCAATTAAAGAAAAATGTAGTGTATATTTCTCATCTATTTAAAGATAGTTGTTAAGGTTTTTTAGACCACATCCCATAAAGAATGTGTTTATGTTACAAAATCAATCTGGTTCAGCATGGAGCAGTAAGCTGTACAAGTACTAGATGGCGTCTTAGCCTACAGTACAAATAACACTGTATGTGGCTACTGTAGGGATGTAAATGAACATATTCATTTACACTTGCATTCCCTCTGTACCGTACCAATACACTTTATCTAGAAATCCTTAATGCTTTAAAAGGAAAATGTTTGTTGTGGTGTACTACCTTTTTATATCAGAGGTGTTTTATTTGCTGTGTCGATCAAAGACCTCTGAAAAGACAGAATTGATTGAAAATGAGAAGGATGATAGAAAGCTGGATCACTGTGGATATGCGAGTGGGAGTGTAGGCTCCCTGATGTGGAAAAGCAGAAACACAGTGATGACGCTTATTCCTGTACTTAGAGGTCAGGTGTTGGAGAAATGCGTATTTTATTGTGCATGTTAAACAAAACAAAAACACAGGTATGGCGCCTACGCACAAACGCAGACACAATCACTTTCACTGCCATACTTCTATCTACACTATTCAATGCACGAGTGCTGCAAAGCCCTGTTTGAAGTACCACATCACAAAAACTACACACCAAGACCATGTAATACACCTCTCCCACGCACTCCAACACAAAGGGCACACACACTAATCGTACCCCCGCACACACTCCTCATCCATCTGCCTGAGGTGTGTGAGGCTCTGGCTGCAGCAGTGGCCATACAACAGATCTATCAATCCTCTTCCTAACATCACAGCATGTGTGCCTGCCTGTCTGCCTTTTCTGGCTGCTCTCCTCCACCTCCGCACCACGCAGGCCTTTCAATGAGCCTCTCCATCTTGCCAGCGCTAACTCACTCCTTCGCTCCCTACCTTACTCTATGACACACTCATACAGCCTTCCAGCTACACACACACTCTTTGTGCTCTTGCAAGGGCACAAAAACAGTCACATACAAACTGCATGCCGATAAATACTGAAAAATGCTTTGGAAGTTCAGAGAGAATTGAACAGGAAGTTGTGAGAGGGCTTTAGGACTGTCGAGCTCTGTTGGTAAGAGGAGGCTCTTCATCTCTTTCTTTTGCTCTCATGCTCCTCCGCACTCTCACACCGCTTCTCTTTCCCTTTTTCTCACTCGATCTCATCTACTATCTATATATCTGTCTGTGGACTTTCACATTTACCGCAAAAATACAGCAGAGAGTTGGGGTCTGCATCACAGTCACAGTGAGGGATTGAGAATGGCAGAGAAAGGGAATAGATTGCAGAAACCCAAAAGCGCTCA